ATTGCTTTTAATTACACAATATAGCTGCATCATTTTACTTCAGATTCTTTTTGATTGATGCTGTAAGGCAATTGTAACCATGGATGATGGGATTAAGTGCCTCTTGAAGTGACTTTAGCTTCTTGTGGGAACAAAGGGAAAGAAGAGAACACTTAGTCCCTTTTTGAGTGAACAGCCTTTTTTCACTTGCTGTATAAAGAAATACAATTAACAAACATTATCCCCAGAGGTGAATTGAAATGTACATGCGGACAATAACCGCTCTTGACTGCAATTAGACATATATGATCCGAGGTATTTTGGCCATTCATTAGTGCTAATTGTTTGAGAAACAAGCCCAGAGAACAAATGATTAAAATGTTAGTGCCATAACCAGGATTATTAGCATGTGTGATAAAATGCATGTGCCGCAGCTGTACCAATAAAACTCTCCAGCGAGTCGCTTTGATTCGACAAACACTCGGCGCGGCTGCGAGCCCTCCGTATTTGCACAGGGCCTGCTGATGTTTATAACAAACAACTTGTATCTTCTTTTTTTAATTAGAAAGAATTACTATGCAAATTGTGGGGCTTTGTAATTCCATAGAAGTTTCCTTTGTTTTGGTGGATTATTTGTGTGCGCTGGGGTGCTACTCCCCAGTAAATTCAACGCAGGAAAACCATTACATTTTCTCTGGAGTGGGGTTTTTTTGCACATATTGCAGAAATAATTTGTACAACGTTTTCCTGCATTAGCTGGGTCTTTTTCGGGGGGGTTGTGGGTCTTGGATCACTTCTGTCTTTCTTCCACAGCTCCACAGATATCATGGTGCGTAGTTACATGCACAGAGGTCAAAAATACATGTGGAAATTATCCAGATTTTTTAATAGTTTTAGTGAAGTGTCTAAAAATGCTCTTTTCAAACACTTTGCCTACACTATGCTAAAGATTGTAGAAGGAAAGATTTGGCCTACTGAACAATGAATATTTTTCTATGTGTTTGGCAGATCTTCCAGGGGTGATTTGATTTAGCAAATAAACAGGGAACAGAGGCACAGGTTAAAGTGCTGGAAATCACTTGTGCGAGTATTTTACTTGGTGAGCTATATGTTGTTGGCTCCAGTGTCACTGCACAGGTGTGTGCATTTAAGTATGTGTATGAGCAATTCTGGAATGTGGAAATGCGGTTTACAGCAGGGAAATTTGCATAATTTGGGGTAATTTCACTGTTCGCAGTCACGCTGTATGGCTGCCATTGCAAACTGCAGTGTCTCTTAGTAGTCAAATAGGTTTTCTTTTCTCCTTCCTGAGGATGAACTATTCACTCTTGGGTGGAATGGTTCTCAAAGGACCATGAGAAACTTTAACTTGCCAGCTACTTTTACATATTTGATGAAGACTTTAGTAGAGTGTTATGTTTGCTGAAGAAATTTAGTTTTATTTCCAAGACCCAAGAGCACTCAGCATGCTGCCAGATGCTATGAATGAAAATATGCTGCTGTAAAACAATTTAATGAGCATTACCCAATAGCCTAGTCCTTGTTTTAACTTACAGTGCTTAAAGGAAGAAACATTGTCTTAGCAAATTCACTTGGCTTTTGTCCATGTGTTTAGTTTAAAGCATAGTCAAGCTTAGTTTGAATCATTGAAATACTTGGAGCCAGGAAACATATGTAAGATTTTCCTCCTCTATATGGCACAGGGTTAACAGTATAATCGAGACTGCAGTGCTGTGTGGGTTTTTTGTCCTAAAAAAGCAACTGCTGGGGATTTTTTCATTCTATCAACATAACAGAAGTCAAGATAATCAGGGGAGTGTTTCCTACCAGAGTTGCTAACTGCTCATATACAGAGCATTACAAGCCTTGCCACTGTTTAAAATAAGTCTATAGACAAATGGATCTATTAATTAATCCATGTGTTCCTCTGCTTTTTTATTGTAGAACATAAAATATGACTTTGCAAGCAAAATGCACAGTGATGATTAAAGAATATATGTCAAAGAATTAGCATTGATGCCATTTACTGCTGTCGTACCTAAAGAGAGGTACGATGTTGATTTTGAGAACTCTTATTTTATATGAATATTTCTAGAGCTCTTAGTTTTGAAAGGAGAAGGATTCTGTGTTGGTCCACTGACACCATCTCCTGCTGTATATATTTTTTTCCTGGCCATACTTTTTGAAAAAATTATTTCTTCTTCAACTTGCTAAGATATCCCATAAAACTAATAATTTGACACATTAACAGTGTATTTTTTATAATAATTCATGTCCTGAGAAACCTGTTGTTTGAGCCCATGTGGTTACAAAGTTGTTTAGCTGAGGGAGAGACAGCAATAGTCACCAGGCAGTAGCATTTCCAGCATTAAGCCTATTAATGATGGCTTTTTAACTGATTAAGTCTATCACTTCTGTGGAGTCAGGCGGTCTGCTGAGGAAGCTGTACTGCTCCTCCATCTAAACACAAGTTCATAGACCTGGCTGGTGACACCTGACTAAATCTGGTCTGCAGGTAATGGTGCTTTCACCTACACAACACTGCAGGCCATTGTGTGTGGTATGCAGAGCCGGGCTGCCTTCAGGGGGCTTGCAGCAGTGAGAGGGAAAACGGCTGGTCAAACAGCCCTTGGTTTGATGACAGCCCAGAAGAAATCCTGGGAAACATGTGTGACAGAAGATACATCTCATCTCAGCATGCTCTGAGATTATGGTGCTCGCCATGTCTATCAGGTTTCTGGCAGGTTGGAGGGCTGGTAAGAGGCAGTCATGAAGGGTGCTTCAGGGGCTGCCTGGCTCCAGGCTGCAGTTAACTATTAATGGGCTGAGCTCTTTGGCTGCTTTGTGCCCTTGGGAACCACAAGGCTGAAGCCATCAGAGAAAGAGAATGGAAACTAATCGCTTTTGTTCCCTCATATATGTTATGGGAATGACTGCAGACTTCTTTACTGACCTCTGTGTCACACTGAAAAAAGATCCTCCTCTTTCCATTTGAGATATACCACTCTCCACCCCGTCCTTGCTCTCCCAAAGTGTACTACTGCAGGAAAATGAGATTAAGTGGATTTGTCTAGCAGCCACTTGAGTTGCCACGAGTTCTGTTACCATCCCCACTTCAGCCTGAAGCAGGGAACGTGAAGCAGCTTGTGAAAGAGGCAAAGAGAGTACTTTGGAGGGGCTCAGTGGATCTCAGTTGCATGTCTCCAGGTGCTGATAGGACCTCCTACATCTGAGTCTTGAAGCTGTTGCTGTTATTAACAAGGGTAACACTGGCACTTTTAATAGGATAATGTCTATTTAACTGCCAAGCTGTCCCCTTTCTTAAACTGAGTTAAGCATTACCAGGCATGTTGCAAAGAAGAGCCCAGCAGTGGTTTTTGTAGGCTCTTAAAATGGATCCACACAGGATATGCAGAGAGGCAGCAGATGAGATGATGGAATCCTTTCCTTTTAAATTTAGTTTACTGAGGTAAAATGTGATAAAAGCTTTTTTCATATTTTTAACCCAACTCTTATATTCAACTTTAAGAGAGAGTTCTTCAACAGATTCAGCTTAGAAAGGCAAGTATTACAGTGGTCTGTCAGTGACATGCCACACTGGCTCTGATTTAGATTGACTGAACTCATTTCCAGGCATTTGAGAGTGTTAGTCGTATTTGCTTTGAAGAAAACCCACATGTGTGTGTAGCCATGTGTCATCCAAGTCTAGCAACTTGGGGAGCATTATTAAGAGGGGCACAGGAAAATGCATGGGTCCCTGACATGATGTGATAATGACATGTTCAGCATGGTGCTAGGAAAGCTCTGCATTATTCAAAGTGCTGAATAATATACATGATAATGCATAATGGTGTTATATGGTAGGATTATTTTGTGGTGTAAGTGCCTTGTGCTTAGCACGAAGGTAAATTGTATTATGTTGTCCTCATCTTCGATGTAGCAGAGTAGGCCTGGGGGTACAGCATGCAGTGGGGAGGAACAGGAGCAGGCAAGGGGATTTTTTTGGAAGGCCAAGAAACACAGTGGCACTCTATAATTTATTTCTGTGCTCATAATTATGGAGCAAAGCAAGCTCCCCACAGCACTGAAGAGCAGCCTCCTCTGGCAGACCCACAGCCTCCAAGTGCAGTAACCCAGCTCCTGCCTGGAGCAGGTTAGCTGGGCCTCACCAGGAATATCAGCATGTGGGGGAGACCACCCCAGAGCTCACAGCTACGGGCCACAGGGACGTTATCCTCTCAGGCCATGTGGCACCAAAGGCTCACACCTGCGCCAAAGTGTGGTGCACAAAGCATTTACAAATCTAAAAAGACACCACAGCCAAAAACCATGCTGCTGATGCTGCTGGGTTTGTGAACTCTGCCAGTGGAAGTCTGTGCTGTGGACATGAAGGTCTGAAGAGAGTAGCAAGGTTCCACACTACCTGGGGTTTTCATTCTTTTTTCTTCATTTCCCCCTCCATCCATCTTGCTTATTTAAAATTTGCATGCAAATACATTTGTTGATATAATGCTAAGGTTGCAAAATGAACTTCACAAACCTGTGTTTGTTTTAACCAGCACCCCTGCATCATTCACAGCATGGCATCCAGCTCCTGGAGGAAATGTAGCAGATAGCAGCTCCTCCCCAAAGCAGTCCTGCTCCATTCCCAGCACAGTCTGCATCCTACAGAGGAGTCCTATGACAAGGAAAAAAAACCAACCACCACCCTTCTGTATTTCATACTTGCTGTAGCACCCAGAATAGGCAGTGTAATTAAAGCTGCATAAACCTCAGCCCTGGCAGGTCATCAATTATGATTAAGTTTGCAACTTCTATTGAACACAGTGGTTTTGGAGTTTTATATTGTAATTAACTGTAATACTGATATGTCCCTAACTTGTCTCTTCTGAAGGGAAAAAATATGTCAGTAGCCCAAACCCAGCCACTATTTAGGTAGGAATGTTTTGCTTTTAAAATACAGTCAAGTATGATTTACAGCATTGCTGACAATAATCTAATTTCAACAATATCCTTTACAGGGTGGATTCTTTTCTGCCAGCTGGTGTTCCTAAGCTCAGTTATCGCTTTACATCATCACACAAGTATGTTCCCAGACGGGCTGTGCTCTATGTACCTGCGGATGATGAAAAGAAGATAAGAAAAATCCCATCACTAAATGTAGATTGTGCAGTGTTGGACTGTGAAGATGGTGTGGCTCTGAACAGAAAGGTAATTAAAAATTATCTGTGTGATATAATCAGCACTAAAGAGAACTTGTGGAAAAACATTGCCTTTGCCTTGGGGAAGTGACAACCAGAAAGACAAAGATAACTCTTAAGATATACAGAGTAATGTCACAGTGATAGGCTTTGTGAGGGTGTTGGGAAAATCTGGTTACCCAGAACTCAAAGAGGTCCCGTCTGAGTAAGCAGGGAGGGAGTTTTGCAGGAATACAGAACTGGGCATAAGCTGTCATCACAGAGGAGTGGGAGATGTTGTTATTATTGCAACACATTTCTTAGGGAAGAGGAAGAAACAGTGTAAGAAAAGAAGTGGGAAAGGAAGCGTTAGTTCAGAATCACCAGGTGGGCAATTTGTTATTGAAATAAAAGCATCTTCAGATTGTGAGCAAAACAGCATGAGTCTGTTTGGTGCATGAGCCTTGGCGTGTTTGGAAATATATACTTCCTGAAATTTTGGGGAAAATGCTGTTAAGGATGTTTCTCAAGGAACCAGAAGTTCGATCCCAGGTATTATCAGTGTTTGGAATGGGGACGGAGAGCAAAGTGGGAGATTGATGTGTATATGTCAAGTACCTGTGCCAAGTTTTTGTTAACATTAAACTATGGAAAAAGTGAGAATGATCTAGCATGCATTCAGTTTTGCTTGCAAACAATTTTTTTTTTAAACATATGGAAGTAACCATTTCAGTATGTTCCATGTCTTAGAACCATAGAATTATTGGAAAAAACCTTTAAGATCATTGAGTTCAACTTTAAAAATAACTGCCAAGTCAGCCATCTTAAACAATGTATACGAGAAATTGGTGCAAATGTTTCCTAACAAAAGCTATTTCTCAACAGGAATGTAAGTTTGCTGTCACATTATTTTCATACTTGTTGGTTTTCCTAACTGTGTCTCCATGCTTCAGACTACAACAAGCAGTGTTCAGGGTGTGAGTATAAGTATCTTGTCCAGAAAGTTAGGAAAACAGACTTGAAAATTTTCCTATTTCCTTTCAAAATGTGGATGAAGTTTTATTATTTTCTTTTTCTTGTGAGTTAATGCTTTCCAGAAGGACTCTCTTGGATAGTGCTTTCTTTAACCTTCCGTTCTTTACAGGTATGTTGGAAAGGAAAAATTTTACAGAGTTTGCATGTACCGGTTTTAATTCTGAAAAGTGAAAGTAGCATTGCTGGATGTTCCTGTGTGCTGCTGAAGATGATTGGAAAGCATTTTTCAGTTGCTAAAATTCAGTGTTGAAAGACTAGGATTATATCTCCTGTCACGGTGAATTAGTATTGTTTCATCACCTTTCAGAGGCTGCTGCTGTGTGATACAAGATGTAGTTGTGTATAAAACTGAAGTATTTTTAGGTGCAGCTTAATTACATCAAATAATTCATAGCATAAGCATTTATTTGTAATAAACGATGACAGAAAACCAAAATTTTATGATCAAGACAACAAAGTTGACAGTAGCAATTTCTCAAGGGTGGTAAAATTCTAGCTCTGTTAAAGTGAAGTTGTGCCACTGGGTATAAGATATCAAGGAAATTAGGGGGAAAATTGGTAATGAAAACTTGAGATGACAGATGAGCCCCTGCCTCAGCTTAAGCGCAAAAAGAAAGCAGACAGGAGGTAGAAGTGGGGACAAGCTACCAAGAAATAACATAAAGTGTGGTCCAGGCTTGTAGGAGCAGAATGAGGAAGTTCAGAGCTTGTCTGGAATCAAAACTGGTGAGGGATGAGCAGGACAGCAAAAATGGCTACCTCAAGTGTATCAGCAGGAAAAATGAGAATGAAAACCAGTCAAATGGATGCACTGCTCCATGAAACTGCAGGATTTACTGTCAGAGTCTGCCCAGTCTCAGGCCTGGAAGCAAAACTCTGGGGAGGGAAGGAGCAGCCACAGTAGGGGAGGATGGAGTTAGGGTCTATGTAAATAAGCTGGTGTGTGGGACCAGACAGGACACACTGGAGGCCTCTCAGGGAGCTGTCGTGTGTCATCATGAGGCTGCTGTCTGTCATCCCTGAAAGATCAAGGCTGGGGGATGTTCCTGAAGCCTGGAGAAAGGCACCTCTGCCCAGAAGGCCCTGGTGCAGTTGCACAACAAGCTGCACAGGGTCACTGGTGTGTCCTTGCAGCACCAACCATCCCCAGGGCCGTGCTGGCCCAGCTGCACCCAGCAGGTCCAGGGAAGGGCTTCATCCCCTGCCCTTGATTCTGACCGTTTCTGTGAGGAGTCCCTGTGCCAAGCTGTGGATCCCAGGACAAGAGAGAGGCTGACCAACAGCAAGGAGCCCATGAAGGGCCATCAGGATGATCATGGCACTGGAGGCGAGGCTGAGGGGTTGAGTTTCTTCATCCTGGAGATGAGATGGCTGAGTTGGTTCTTGATGGACACTTTGCTTCCTGAGAGGAGCTGAATGGGTGCAGAGCCACACTCTTCTCAGAGAAGATCATAAATGAAAAAAGGAAAAAACTGGGTACAGATTGCATGAGGGGAGATGCTGACTGGAGACAAGGGAAAATGTTTTGCCCACGCAGGTGGTCAGAGGCTGAAAGAAATTGTCCATTGGTGGTGTATCTTCCCTCCCTGAGGAGACTTGGCTGGATGAAGCTGTGATTGGCCTGGTGTAGAGCAGTAGTTAGTGCTGCTTTGAGGTGGTCTCCTGAGATCTCTCCCAACCTGAATTAGACTCTGTGATTGCATGATTTAGTAGAGAAGCCTAATTCAAAGTGATTGGAAGTTTGAATTTCATTTTTAGATCTGCCACAGATACTCAGGAAGAGTTTGAGTCATAGGTTCTATGAATGTGAAGCTGAAATTCTTATTGCTCTTGCAGCTTAATTTATTAATGTTTATGAGGTGTTTGGAGACTTTGTGTGAAAGATATGTCAAGAACGTGCATTGAAGTACAGTGTTCAGTGGCCCATTGCAAATGGGTCATTTCAAGCTGAGGGGAAAGAACCCACTAGGAAACACAGCAATGCTGAGTCTGTCCTTTATTGATTCTTCTCAAATAGTACTGATGAATTTGACTATTTTTTGCTGTGTCTTATAATACTTAAAACGCTATGTATGGACTTCCTTTAAATTGCTACAGAATTTTTGAATTTGGGGAAAACCAGGACCTGACTGAAGGTTCACAGTGCCTTGGGCCAAACCTGCCTGTCTACAGATCTTCATTTGCAGGAAGTCGAAGCAGCAAGCTTGAACCACATCTAATGGGTCTATTTTAACAAGATGCTGTGTGGTTTTTATTAGGATTAAGTTAAAATTTGACAGATCGATAAACTGGCATGTCAGCAGCCCTATTTGCTTGCTCATTCAGAAGAAAACGAGGAAGATGAGCTTCCTGTTACTGAAACTGATAACATTTGTAAAACTGCATTTGGTTGCACTAGCAGCTTTTGAAGCTGTGGCCAGAAAATAAAAATATTTAAGTATTTTCTATGCAGTATTTTCTCTCAATGAAGTTTTGAAAGACTTCCTTCCCTGTGCCTTACCCCCACAATTATGTTTTCTAATGATGGTCAGAGAGCACCAGAAGGGGGGAAGCCATACCCATACCCTAATCTCCTTTACCATTTCAGTGCCTGCATTTCTTACCTTCAAGAACTACAGCATTGACCACAACTTCAGGCGTCAGCTCTTTCCCCTTCTTTTGAATCTTATTGAATCTGATATTTTGACTAAATCAGAAAAACACAGAAAACCTCACAGCATTCATAAGGAGAAAATATTTCAATGAATTTTCTGAGGAAAACCAGTGGGAAGAAATGGCTAATAAGCAAAGTTGTTGTAGTATGCTGAGTACTAACCCTGAAGGTAGGGTTACACCTGATCCTGGTATGAGTAGCACAGGGGCTTTTGCAGCACCTTTGGGACCAGACAGAGCAGTAGGGGGGGTTCACAAATTCAGAATAGGAAAGGTAATAGGGAGATATGCTGATGTTGCTGAAAATATATTTTACAGAGGTAGCATCAGTCTTGCTGAACATACCCTACATGTCATGCTGTTCTCTAATCCTGATTGGGGATCCACGTGCTGTTTTTACAGGTTCAGATGCATAGTGCCATATGATGTAGACTGTCAGTTGCCTCTCAAGGTTTCTGACTCTGTAAGACTTTGGGTATTTCTACAACAGAGATTTAAGTTTTGGTTGTGGGAACAATTGAATATTAGTAAAGGGAAGTTACCTTCCCTGAGGTACTATTCACAGACAAAGATATGATTTCTTTGCCACTGATGTGCATTTTAAAGAAATTAGTCAGAATTACGACCTTGGTGATATTTTAAAGTGTACAGTTCAAATAAAAATTCTAAAACTATAAAATTAGAAATAATACAGATTGTAGTGTTGATATATCACAAATGCATCACACTCTTAGAGACAAAAATAGCATGTATCTATTTCAGCTCTTCACAGGAAAAGGTCTGAATATGCTTTCATTTTGATTCTAAAAAATAAAAAGGTTTTAAAAATGGCTGCATTGATATGCTTGTATGAATCATACAAGCCAGCAAGCTGAATTGCATCTTATGAAAGATCTCTGAGTAGGAGCTGAGCTGTCTCAAGGGCGCTCAGCCAAGCCAGCAGTCCCTGCTGTAGCTTTCCTCTGTAGAGCTGCATCATTTACTGTGCTTGTAGGTCAGGTGGATCTATTATCATGTGGAAAAGTTCTCCTGTTGAAGTAAGGAAGATTTCCATGTCAGTGAATTCATTTTCCAAGGACACAGTGAGCTGAGATTTTGTAGTTAGTTCCCATGGGTTATGTAAAATTACCACCCCTACAAGAGAGTTTTCTAGAACTGTCTTTTTTCCAGCAGGATCCTGTCTTGGTGGTGCAGTTCTTCAGAGAATCTGGGAGGTGTTAGGTGCCAGGTCAGCCGAGCAAGAGAACAGTTGGGGGTGCTACGATAGCCTTTATATATCTTTCTGAGTCCTTGGCAAGAATTTTGGAGAATTTTAATGCCTCCAAATCAATGCTATTTGTGGCT